GTCCAAAGCTCCTGGGATTCCGGCCGCCTCTCCTGCTCCCAACAGACGGCCAGGCAGGCTGGGGTCGCAGGACCCTGCCGACTCCCGTCATTGCGGAGCAGAGGGGGGAGGACATGCACAAATTGTACATCTGCCCAGCTCCGATGGCGGGGGCGGATGCAAGATGCGAGGCGTACATAAGCGGCGGGAAGGCAACGCAGCTTTGCAGCAGCTGCGGCGGACACAGTACATTAGGCAGCCCGAATCTTGTGTGCATGCACGTGTTGGGCATGCAAGATGTACTCGTCCTGCACGACTTGGGCTGCCCTGGGCCCTTGACAGTGGTGGCGACCATCGGCTCCGCGGCGGTGCGCCCGGGCACGTTACCTGCTTTCCTCGTCATGGGCCGAGACCCTCGAGGCTCTGTAGCCACGAGTCTGCGTCAGAGTCGGCATTGCTTCCATGCTGCTTCTCGAGAAACGCGCGAGTGTCTTTGCTTGTCTGGAATAACCTCCGATCCGCACCACGGTGCGACTGAATGCGGCATACGCCGGGGGGGGCAGTGTGTGACCCTCAGATCGGGGGTCTGGCAGTGTTGACGCCGTTCGTCGATACGCGCTTGGTGCGGCCTGCGTGGTCTTGTCAGGCAACGAACTAACGAAGCGCCCGCCCCTCCGAAGACTGCTTCATTGGGGCGCTTTGGGTTCCGCACCCCTCACCTTCTTCAATACAGCGCGTTAGTTAGCCGGCAGTCCGTGGTGAGAAGTGAGACAACATTGCGGTCGGAGGGCTTCACCGCTGTTCCGTCCTTGGACCCTCACACTTCCCGGGCGTCGGGTGGTGGTGCCTCGCGGTCGGCCCAGTCTTCGCAGGTTGACGTCCTGCTGAGCGCCCGTGTAAGTGGCGACGGTCCGCGGTGCACCCTCCGGCATGTCTTCAAGGCTAAATTGAACTCCTCCCTCGTGGCCGTCTTGTCGTGGCCTCCACTGGGATTGCATATGACTGCATTGCTGCCCCCTGCTCGAAGCTTATCGCGGGCTTGGGTAGGGCGGCTAAATGCTGGCCGTCGATCCAATGCAAACGCAATGCAAGATTCGGCTGGGGCGAATAAACACGCATTGGTTCCTCTTGGTAAGGCGCTCGCCAGTCGATCGATTCGTTTCTACCCGCTCAGGTGCAGGTGCCCTGGCCTGCGTGCATTCGAGCTTGGATGTGCGCTTTGCGGAGTGCGGAGTGCAGCTGCGCAAGTGGCTGGCGGGGGTTCGTTTCGCGCGTGTTCGAGTACAGAACACCTCGCCTCCGTAAGGGAATGTACTGTACCTTGCATCGTGGCAGTAAGGGAAGGTACCTCTACGAGTACGAGTACGTAGCAACTGGCCGTTCAGCGGCTGCCAGGGCCGTACATACGGTAGGTACGCCGTGCTTGCACCTTCCACGTTCCCACACGCTCGAGCTCGAGCTCCTGCCTGCAGCAGCGCCAATCTGACGGCACAGGGGTCCAGCCCTAAACAACCTGGTGGGAATCGTTTCGTGCATACAGAGTACCCGTCCTCGCAACCACCTCGAGCTTGTCACCACCATTCGTCCCTGCGGGTCGCGGCACCGGCTGTGACACAATGGAGGATTTGCTCTCCCGCCATCCCCCCTACGGTAAACAGCATTGGCCAGTCTCCCTGCGGCGTGTAAGGCAATTACGTTGCTTCCAGCCAGCTGACCCCTCCATGTGCTTCGTCCAGAGCTCCATGCGACGGCGACAAGGA